GACGGAGACGGAGATTCCGCTGCCAGCGCGCGCATGCGCCTCCAGCCACGGCTAGGCCCTGCGCTCTCCTACCTTTGTCCAGCTCCATAAGGGCGGAGTTAGCATCCAGCTCTTGCTCGCCGTAGCCCGCATCTGCCAGGAAGGACTTAGCGCCGGAGGCCATGGCGGTACCCGCTCCCGCACTAGATCGCAGCACGACCTGTAAACCCACTGCGCAGCTACCTACGTGCCTCAGCCTCAAGTGCAATTGCGCATGCGCGATTGTCCGCACCACTGACCTATTCCCGCTCCCGCCACTACGTCCCGGGACGCATGCGCCCTCACGAGCTGCAATTTAGACTCGTACTCCCCGCCCCCAGGTCTGCTGCCCGTGTACAGTGATCCGCTTCAACCTACCACCTTAACCTCAGCGTCTGTAGCACCTAGCGTGGGGACTAGGGGAGAGGGAAATGGCTGCGGCCTCGGGCCCCGCCCCGGAGCCCCTGCCCAGTGGGAAGTAGTGGGTGTGGCCTCCTGCCCCGCCTACTGGGAGTTGGGGGGGTAGCGCGGGTGGCGGGAGTAGACGCTCCTCTGTCCGTTTTGTGTCCCGGTCGCTGTGGGAGTCACTGGCCATGCTCTGCCGCTCGCTCCTCCACCGAGCCCGGGCCGGGCCTGGTGCCAGTTCTTTCCCCGACGCATGGCTGTAGCTGTAGTGCGGCCCTGGTGCCTTCTCCGTCCTTGCTTGGCAGCCCCATCGCTGGGGCGCCCCTCTCTTTGAGAGATCACCCCACGGATGAGGCTCTCCAGCCGGGGGAGGTGCTCGCAGCTGTCCGCGATGGTGTGGGGATCGGGTAGACTGGCACGTCTCATGGGACGTGCCAGTTCTTTCCCCGACGCATGGCTGTAGCTGTAGTGCGGCCCTGGTGCCTTCTCCGTCCTTGCTTGGCAGCCCCATCGCTGGGGCGCCCCTCTCTTTGAGAGATCACCCCACGGATGAGGCTCTCCAGCCGGGGGAGGTGCTCGCAGCTGTCCGCGATGGTGTGGGGATCGGGTAGACTGGCACGTCTCATGGGACGTTTCTCCCTAGATCGTTGTAGCTAATGGAACAGCAAATGCCCGGTACATGTAGATTCTTCTGGTTAGTGTTCAAACTATGACTAGTACTTTGGCCCCATGACGAAATGGAAAATCCCATCGACGTCCAAAAACCTGGATAAGACCTCTTACTGGAAGAAGTTAGTAGGTCTTATTGCAGCAACTCAAAATGCCTGATAAATGACAAAATACACATATTTTTAGGTTTGTCTTTGCAATATCCCCTGCAACATCTCTTGGATTGCTATGAGTGCAGTCAGCTAGATGACCACTTTTCTTATGGAGAGACGGGAATGCCAGTTCCTCCTTTCGGTTGCACCTTTTCTACAGGTAAGTGTTCTTTTTTAAAATCAAAATGCTATGCTAGAGCCCAAGCTGTCTGCACATAAATATGTACAGACTTTAATACGGCTACGCCCTGAAAGATATTGTAGCCATTTATTTTGAATATTCAGTTTCATAAAGAGCCCTTTATATCAGTGACAAAATAGACTAGACCAGGGCTACTTAACATGTAGCCTGTTTGTTTGTGGCCCACGGGTGGGAGCCAAAACAAAAAAGTACTCCATGTATAATGGTCTTCGGTTGATACGTGTTTTAGCAGTTAAATTCCTGGACTGACATTGCTCATTAAAAGTGCTGTCATATGGGTGGAAATTGGGTAAGTATTTCATTTTATTAATATCAGCAGAACTAACTTAAATGGGGCCTGTGTGTTGTGTAATCTTGCCTTAATCTTTGTATTCATGCCCCTCAGTGTGAAAAGCTATTTACATATATTTGGGGCTTCCAAAGTTGAGTAGCTCTGGACTAGACAGTTAATGACACATCTACCAGAGCAACTATTAAGAATAAGCTCTTAGGTCAAAATGTCCCTTGCCATTTTTCAGATATGGATGCTATATTCAAAAATCCATTATTTCTTTAAGGTAAATTGGGTAACACTATGGCTGTGTCTACATTGGCAGCCTTTTCTGGAAAAGGGATGCTAATGAGACACTTTGGAATTGCAGATGCTGCGGGGGATTTAAATATCCCCTGCGGCATTTGCATGAACATGGCTGCCGCTTTTTTCCAGCTCGGGGCTTTGCCGGAGAAAAGCGCCAGTCTAGACAGGATCTTGCGGAAAATAAAGCCTTTTCTGGAAGATCCCTTATTCCTGATTTTAAGAGGAATAAGGGATCTTCCGGAAAAGGCTTTATTTTCTGAAAGATCCCGTCTAGACTGGCGCTTTTCTCCAAGAGGAATAGGGACCTTTCGGAAAAGGCTTTATTTTCCGAAAGATCCCATCTAGACTGGCGCTTTTCTCTGGCAAAGCCCCGAGCTGGAAAAAAGGGGCAGCCAGAGGCGGATTTAGGGCAGGGCGAGCGGGGCGGCTGCCCTGGGCCCCGCGTTTCCCGAGGCCCCACGCATGCGCCTTGGCACCACGGCGCATGCGCTGTGTCAAAGGGGGGGGGCGCGAAATTTTGCTGCCCGGGGCCCCGCGGAACTCTCATCTGCCCCTGGCGGCAGCCATGTTCATGCAAATGCCATGGGGGATATTTAAATTTGCATTTGCAATTCCGAAGTGTCTCATTAGCATCCCTTTTCTGGAAAAGGGTGCCAATGTAGACACAGCCTATGATTTAATTTGATAAAATAGAACTATGCAGCATGATGGACCATTGGCAGTATTATGGGATTGCTATGCATTTTAATAAAGTGAGTTCAATTAAAGCATTTAAATAAATGTACACACTTTCACAACTTTTGATTTCAGCCTTATTTGAGACAAAGTATGTCTTGTTGTGGCACTAAAACTAGGTCTGTACTAGACCCAGAAGGTCAGCTTAAGGTACTCAATGAAAAAAGTCAAGCTTGGTGCTATCTGCACAGGGAGAGGTTGATGAGAGCTCCCATCAGCTTCCCTTACTCCTTGCAATTACGAGAAGACCTGGTGTCCACTGGGCGGGCACCCTTGGTGTTCGATTTATTGGGTTCTTACTAGACACACTAATGCCAGAAGATCGATCTCCAGCATGGCAAGTGGAGACATGGCCTATGATGTTTGCAAATTTAGGTTGGTCTTTGTTCATAAGTAACTAGGATCAGGAATAGAGTGAGGAGTAGTAAATGGAAACGGATGAGAAGGAAGATGTGCTTCTAAAACCCATGTGCTTCTAAAACACTGGCCGCTTGAATTTGCGCAAGAGCACTGACGTTCTAATGTAAGAATTCAGTGCTTCTTGCGCAAATGCTTTGATGCTCCCGCTCAGGGATAAGCCCTCTTGCGCAAGAATACTTGCACAAGAGGGCCAGTGTAGACAGGCACCTTAATTTTTTGCGCAAGAAAGCCCGATGGCTAAAATGGCCATCTGACCTTTCTTGCGCAAAAGCGCGTCTATACTGGGCACAGACGCTTTTGCGCAAAAGCATCCGTGCCAATCTAGACGCTCTTTTGCGGAAATACTTTTAACGGAAAAGTTTTTCCATTAAAAGTATTTCCGCAAAATCATGCCAGTCTAGATGCAGCCCATGTGTATCACTTTCTTCATGGGTGACAGTTGCTGGCTTGATTGACAGGCCTGGATATTGAAATCCTGATCTGGAGGTAAATCACTGGCATTAGCTGTGCAAGATTTTCCACACTGTCCCTCCTGTCCTGTGTAGGGATGTTAAATTTCAATTGATTAGCTAATTGAATAGTCGATGGGATTTCCATTGTCTATTTGATTAGTCTATAAGAACTTCTGTGTTCCAGCGGGGACTCTTGTACATTTCAAAGTTGGCCACCACTGTGCCCCTGCCCCCTCCCACGGAGATGGAGTGAACCAGCTTGTAAGCCAGTTCCCTCCAGCATCCCTCCTCTTCCACCCCCTTACTGCCTCTTTGTGATAGCAAGGGGGGGAAGCGACTAGTTGACTAGTGTGTTGACTGTCGGATAAACTAATGACTCGTCGATTAGTCGCTTACATCCCTAGCCCTATGCCTAAATCCTGGCCTAAAGGAATTACCAAACTGTAGAGGATAGTTAATTTTTTATATTTATTCAACACTGTGAACAAGGTGATAGAAATGTAGCCATGTTAGTCTGGTGTAGCTGAAACAAAAAACAGGACTGTGTAGTACTTTAAAGACTAACAAGATGGTTTATTAGATGATGAGCTTTCGTGGGCCATACTCACTTCCTCAGATCAAATAGTGGAAGAAAATTGTCACAAATTATACCAAAGGGTACAATTAAAAAAATGAACACATATGAAAAGGACAAATCAAATTTCAGAACAGAAGGAGGATCGGGGGGAGGTAAATGTCTGTGAGCTAATGATATTAGAGGTGATACTTGGGGAAGCTATCTTTGTAATGGGTAAGATAATTAAAGTCTTTGTTCAAACTTAGGCGTAAAGTGTCGAATTTATGCATGAATGACAGTTCAGAGGATTCTCTTTCAAGTGTAGTCTTAAAAGGCCTTTGAAGTAGGATGCAGGTAATTAAGTCGTTGAAACAATGTCCTTTCTGGTTGAAATGGCAAGAAACTGTTTTATGGGTATTGATCCTTTGGCGAAGTGTCTGAGACGTTTGTCCAATGTACATAGCAGACAGACACTTTCGGCACATGATAGCATAAATTATATTTCTGGATGCGCAGGAATATGTGTTCTTGATCTTATAACTCACTTGGTTAGGTCCAATAATGGTATCAGCAGAGTGAACATGTGGACAAAGCTGGCAACAGGGTTTAACACTGCACTTGAAAGGGAATCGTCTGAACTCTTGTTGATGCTAAAATTCGACACTGCGCGGGGGTCTTAACGAAGACTCTAATTATCTTACCCATTACAAAGATAGCTTCCCCAATTATCATCTCTAATATCATTAGCTCACAAACATTTATCTTCCCCTGTCCCCCGCATCTGTAGTTTATTGATAATGTGTTGGACAGGTTTAAGTTGGGGGCTATAGGTGATGACAAGTGGTGTTCTATTGTTGGTTTTCTTGGGTCTGTCTTGAAGTAGATGGATGAACAAGGTGGCAGTCAGTAGTAAGGTGCTGGCTTTGGTGATGAGCAAACCTGTCTATGAAAAATGAACTAAGCCAACTGATTTTTCATAGACCATTGGACAGCCATCAGATGTCCATGGCTCTTGATCACCACACTTCTGAGTTAGGTTTGTATTCTCGCGATGAGATTTTAGCAGATCATTGCTAGTACTGTGAACAGTCCAGTCCCACATAGAATTTTCCAAATCCAGAGATCATGCTAAAAGACTCACAATAACAAACAATGATATTTTCTCTACTCATTGGAATTTGTGATTTTATTTGCACAATCAAGCCATTTCGTGCAAAAGTAATAGTTGAACTAACAGATTTATGCAAAGAACAAATCTGAGACCTTACTGTAAATATAGGGAGAAACTTTCCAACCCGTATGACGTAAAATTAAAGGGAAGTTAAATTGATCACCATTCTCTTTATAACAACCCTTAGTATATTTGAAGACTTGTATCAAGTCTCCCCTCACTCCTCTTTTTTCAAGACAAAATATGCCCAGTTCTTTTAACTTTTTTTCATAAGTCGTAGCATACGGCAAGTCATATATGCTTTCTGTTTTCCCTTTGGTGAAGTATGCTGTTCATGTTGCAGAGCACAGTACTTTGAAAATGTAAATTGCTGTGTAAAACTAACTACTTTTTCTAAACTTTTGTGAAATCACTGAATATTCTATTTTAAGTAATTTGTTTGCAGTTTTCTTTTTGGGAATTGATGTAGTTATGTGGCAAGGGCCCCTCTTACACCAACCACCACTGGACTGGTCTCTCGCTCCTAACTCTATAAAGTTTGGGGTGCACAGCAGGTCTCTGTGATAGGGAACCCAGCCACGCCTCCTCAGACTTCCTCCCTAGCTACCTCCACTTAATGCTGATGTGAGTTTGTTCTCTCAAACCCATCCCTGTCTTCACCGCACCCCTTCTGTCCTCTCCCCCCAGCTGCCTACTGCTGAGGCTTTTAAAGGCCCTCAATCAGCCAGAAGAGGAGTCAGCTGGCTCCAATCAGCCTGAGCCAGCTCTCTCCCAGCTGCATCTAATTGGCCTGCAGCTCTCTGCTTCTACTTACAGGGTTTTTTACCCTTTTGCACTGCCTTTTCCCTTTTCTGCAGTAGCTCCCTGGCTTGACTCTGCTACAATACATTAATCATAATTTCCAATAATTTGTCTTTCAGCTTCAGATCTGCAGCATGTATTTGCAGTTGCAAATGAAGAAGGCTTTGTTAGACTGTATGATACGGAAACACAAAACAGTAGCAAGCAGATCTTTAGAGGTAAATGTAGAGCTTGTTAGTGCTTTTGCTGTATTGACTCAAATTGTACTAAAATACAAGCAATACTTTCATTCCTTCTTTGTAATTTCATTGCTTTCATTTTTCCATCTCCACTATTGCTCTTCTAAGCAAATTGTCCTACGTTGCTTTCAGCACCCATGAAAAGCTGTTGATGACAAAAGAGTCATTTGAATGCTGGATTGAAAAATTGTTCATAGTTCTTCTCAAATAAATGTCATGCTTGAATGTGTTTCCAAGAGGTCTACTTTTTTCATGATATGAACTCATTTTAGCTTTTGTTTTTCTTTCAGAGTGGCTGGCTCACTCAAATGCTGTCTTTGACCTTGCCTGGGTGCCTGGGGAACACAGGATTGTAAGATGACTTGTGCAGTCTTACTTAAGTTTTAGTAGTCTGGTAAATGATAATAAATCATTATATCTTTTAATTTCTTTGTAAGGTTACAGCTTCAGGAGACCAGACAGCCAAGATGTGGGATGTGGGATGTGGAGAGCTGCTTGGCATATGTAAAGGTCATCAGTGCAGCCTCAAATCAGTTGCTTTCTCTAAATTTGAGAAAGGTAAATGTTCATGTTTCTCTCTCAATTTTTTAAAAAAGTAAATCTTAGTGCTGGTGAGATCTCTTGAGGTGAAAGCCCACTGTTGGTAGCACAGGAAGTGTCTGAGTAATTTGTAACACTGCTCTTCCAATGTGGATCAACTGTGGACAGTAGAGACCTCTGGGGTGAAAGATTATTTAAGTTTAGTGGTCTCTGGGCTGAAATTGTCAAAAAGGGTGCTTATGCTGGATGTTTATGTATACATAAGGGCTGTGTCTAGACTGGCAAGTTTTTCCGCAAAAGCAGATGATTTTGCAGAAAAACTTGCCAGCTGTCTACACTGGCCGCTTGAATTTCCGGAAAAGCACTGACGATCTCATGTAAAATCATCAGTGCTTTCCGGAAAAACTATGCTGCTCCCATTTGGGCAAAAGTCTTTTTCCGAAAGACTTTGGCACACAAGGGCCAGTGTAGACAGCATATTACTGTTTTCCGCAAAAAAGCCTCAATCACGAAAAAGGCGAGGGAGAGGAATTATTTAAGCTTAATACCGATGTGGACACAAGAACAAATGGATATAAGCTGGCTAGTAGGAAGTTTTTAGACTTGAGATTAGACGAAGGTTTCTAACCATTAGAGGAGTGAGGTTCTGGAACGGCATTCCAAGGGAAGTACAGTAAAACTCCGATGGTCCGGCATCTGACGATCCGGCACTCCTGATGGTCTGGCACCATCAGGAAACCGGAAGTGCTCCAGGTAGAGCTGCTCTGCCCCCAGCTTCCCTGATTCAGCCACTGCTAAAACTGACCAGCGCTGAATCCAGGAAGCAGGGGGCAGAACAGCTGGAGTGTTGTCGGGTAGGTCCAGTAGTGCTGCCCCTCGGGGCTGCGGGACCAACCCAGCAGCACCCCAGCTGTCCCAGATTCAGCCGCTGCTGAAACTGACCAGCAGCTGACTCCAAGAAGGCCGAGGTAGAGCAGTTGTGCCTTGGGATTCCTGGAGTCAGCC